TCAAACCCCATCCAGATAAAAGCAGTATTGTGAGTTCTACAACCATTTCATTTTTATATCTTTAGAAATCAATCTATAATAATGATATATATGGTGTTATTTTGTATGTTTAAAAATGTTAAACGAATGTACTAATATGCTATAGGTATTATTCTGCACTTGCTTTTTAAAACTCAGCCTTGTTTTTGAGATCCATCCAAGCTGGTATATGGATCTAGTTCATTCCTTTTATTGAACAGTATAAACATTTTATTTTAACTGTTCCATTATTTCAATTTTTTTCTGTTTAAACAATGCTGTAATGAATATCCTTGTACTTGTCTCCTTGTGTGTATCTATGAATGATTTCTTTTTCAAATGAGAGAAGTTTCTTTGTCTTCTCTCTAGTCTTTTATATTCTTACTCTGTTAGTGCCTTTCTATTCTTTTTTTGATAACACAGTGAAATAGTGACTCTCTACACCCAGATCTTAAACACTGTAATAGAAACATGGTTTATCTCTATAGGATTATAAATAGGCTAGCATTCAGCATTGACCTTCATTTTAAGACAACATAGTTCTTCTCAACTATAAAATATCCGTCTCTGGCTAGGACTTTAGAGCATTGTTTTTCTTCAAGACTTGACTGTTACCACAGTATCTTTTTAGCACCTGCCTATTAAAGCTAATTTTAGTGCCATCATTTTAACCTCCTCCTAGTCTGGGAAGAGTTTGGCTTGTGTGTGTTTTCTTGTTAAGAACTTTGTGTATCATATTATTTTGCTTTGAGATTTGCTTTTATGTTTCTGGATGTTTGAGGGTTCTCAAAACAAAATGTTTCAACCGTTTGGGTTTTAGTTTGTTGAAGCAGTCAATGAGGGAATCTAGAAGTTTGCTTTCTGCTCTAAGTGGGTGAACAGCATGGATACCTAGAAGACTCATACTATTGGAGTGTAATGATTAATTAGAAATCTGTGTTTTTCCTAAGAAGACACATAGGAGTCATCCCTTTCTTCTCTCACTACTTGGACAAAATAATTCACTGTTTCTAGATCCTAAGACCTAGGGAGATATTATACTTTGATCTTATATAATATATATGTAAGTATATATAGATGCATCTATGTATGTGTGTGTGTATATATATTCTTTATAAGTTTAAGGTTATAGTTATGTTTTTACTTTTAAAAAAAATTTAACATATTTAGAACTATTTCCCAGTTATGGGTTACAACCAAGTTAGCTGAAGTCTTTTTTGGGGAGGGGAAGGGAGATAGTCTCTTTTTCTTGCTCCCAGTAGAGTGCTGTTGCATCATATCTCACAGCAACTGCAATCCTCTTGCCTGAGCCTGTTTTTTTTTTAAGAGACAGAGTCTCACTCTTGCTCAGGCTGGTTTTGAACTCCTGAGGCTTAAGCAATCTGCCTGTCTCAGCGTCTCAGAGTGCTAGGATTATAGGCATGAGCCACTGCGTCCGGCCCTGAAGTCATTTTAGTTGGTGAAATCAACTTAATTGATTTCAACCCCACTTTTTATTTTTTTGTTTTGTTTTGATTTAATTTTTTTTTTAATGAGCCATAATTTACGTTGAACAAAAAGCCCACGCATGAATTGTATAGCTCCATGGAGTCCACCCCCCCCAAATCAATATATAGGCTACTCACAGCATCCCAGCAAGCTGTCTGGTACCTCCCTCCCAGCTGATACTCCCATTATTTTTACCTCCATCGTTGTAGATCAGTTTTGAGTGTTCAAGACATTCCCATGAACAGAACCATCCAGTTCATGCTCTCTGTGTCAGGCTTCTTTAGCTAAGCATTATATAACCCACATTTTAAAAAGAATTTAAGTGGAATTGAATTGAATAGAGGATATAAAAGTATACTGCCCTTAATAATGATAGATATTTCAAATATAATATACATACACATAGATAGTGTGTATTACATTATAATGTGGAACATACTTCTTTTTGGTGTGCTGTCATAATTTTATTGATATATAAGAGTTGTACATATTTTGGGGGTACATGTGATATTGCAATACCTATACACAACGTATAATGATCAAGTCAGGGTAATCAGGATATCTAGCAACTCAAACCTTTATTTTACCTTTGTACTGGAAACATTCAAACATATTTCTGACTTTGGTTTGTGGTCAAAGCCTGAAAATGCAGCATCAATAGAGGCTTTACTGTCCCCCTGCCCCAAGCTTGCAGGTGTTTGTTTATTTTTATTTTTTGGAATATAAATTTAAATTTATTTTTTAAACACAAATAAACGATCTTTGTAGAAAACGTAAAATAGGTAGCACAGTTTCATCTATAAAATATTTTTGCTTAGTATTTCATCTAGTATAAATAGACCTAACCTCTAGACCTAATCTAGACTCAAACCTCTAGACCTAATCTCCAGATTACATTAAATACAGGGACCACAGAAACAAACCACATCATAAGGAAACAATCAGAGAAATAGAGGGTATTGGACAGTATATAAGATAGTCACTCTACCCATACTTCATGGCTCATGTGTGTAAATTAGTACTCTGGCAGGCCAAACTAAGAGGATTTCAGGAGCTCAAGAGTTCAAGACTAGCCTGAACAAGAAGGAGACCCTGTCTCTACTAAAAATAGAAAAACTAGCCAGACATTGTGGTGGGCACCTGGAGTCCCCACTTTTAGGGAGGCTGAGGCAGGAGTATTGCTCAAGCCCAGGAGTTTGAGGTTGCTGTAAACTAGGCTGATGCTATATAGCACTGTAGCCTGGGCAACAGAGTCAGACTCTGTGTCAAAAAAACGAAAAAGAAAAAAGGAAAACAGATGAGGGAACAGTTCTGTATTCAAAGAGATTGTGGAGGTGTAAAAACCAAATGAGATGTGTGAACTTTGATTGTTGAACCTGGGCTGGGGGGTAAGGGCCACAAAAGAGATTCGTAGGATCATTGAGGCAGTCTCTCAGATGTTTTAAAAATAATTTTATTTAAGAAGGTAGATGGCTCAGCGCCTGTGGCTCAAGTGGCTAAGGCACCAGCCACATATACCTAAGGTGGCGGGTTTGAATCCATCCTGGACCCGCCAAACAACAATGA